TCACGCCTGCTGCTTCCCTCAGCAGTGTATTTCTGTTGTCTGCCTGTTCTGCTCCCTGCCTCTGATGAATCCTCTGGTGAATCTGCCTCTGGTGAATCCTCTCACCCTCCCGCAACTCTGGCCTGTACCCCAGCTCTTATATAAAAACAAATCTTTAAAAAAAAATTACCTAAGTAAAGGACTCAAGGGGAATTTTGATATGAAGTTTCATTATTATTTCCATTTTATGCTTTTGCTTATCTTTGCTTTCATCTTGTACCTCTAAATTTAATGCCACATAAATCCATAGATGGTTTTATATATACATACACGTACATTGTATATTATATATATACACATGCACTGGTTTAAGGTGGCTTAAAAGGATATCTATGTATGTGTGTATGTATATGTATATATATATTATATATATACACATACACTCACACACACATATGCATACATATCCTTTTAAGCCACCTTAAACCAGTTTGGAAGAAAATGAAATATAAATAGAACAATGAAAATAATAAGCTTCCTACCATTTGTTTTCAATGCTATAAAAGAGAAATGGAAAGAGTTGTTTAGCAATCAGACTACCTTAGTATAATTGTAACTTTTCTGTATTATTCATAAATAGCATTGTAGAAAATGAATACATCATCCAGTGCAAAGACCTGGCTTATACTATCAGAAACTTTATAGATGTGTTTGGGTATTAGCAAATAGGACAAAAATATGTTATTTGTAATTCTATACAAAGTAATTTGTTTTCTATTTCTTCTTAAAAACCCAGCAATAAAAACATAGGATTAATGCACACATATACAAAATTTAGTTTCACCCTAGATATTTGTATAGTTTTATTCTAGAAAAAAGAAAGATTAAAGATCTCACCAATATTAGCTGGTATGAATTTTCCACACATACAAAAAGTATCTGAAGATTTTGTGTGGCTGCAATAAGCAGACACTACACTAATCACTAAAGAATGAAACCAAACACAATAAAAATGAAATAATACTATTAAATGATATTTTAAGTCTTTAGCACTGACTTAACGGAATTATCAATGTCATAAGGTACTATGCTGTTACTTATATGCAGCATCATCCTTTCTGTTTTTGTTTGGCTCTTGTTACATACATACATTCAATGACAAAAAAATAATAGGTCTCCTGAAATTAATGTCCCCTTATTTGCATTAATCATTTTCTGTACTATATAACTTTTACAGTAGATCAAATAATTGTTGGAAAATCTTATGTTTTGAACATAGGTGAAATAGAAATATTAGCCATAAAGTTTGATCATTATATAGACTCCTATACTGAAATCAGGCTTTACTTAAATCATCATTATTTTCATAATCTCTGATCTGTCTTTCTTATGTGTAAGTTCTTTTTTAAGATTATACAGAAGTGTTTTGAGAAAGATGGACATTCACATGGTAGCATTGGCAAATGGTCAGTTCAATTTGGTTTAGTCAAGCTCAGTTCAGTTCCCTCTGAATATTTCTTGAGCACATGGTCAGGGAATATAGAGATAAGTAAGACTAAGACCCTATCCCAGGAGCTCAAATGCCTACTGTACTGTGATACTCAGCATCCAAGAGACCTGACTGAAGTGGAGGGTACTTTTTTAAACTGGCTGTTTAATATACACAGGTTTTTATGATGTAATTCAAGAACAGACTCTCAGATGAGGCAACAGGAGCAAAGCCAAAGAGTTTGAGAGTTTGTAGGGAAGAGGGTGAATACCAGAGTAACTGAAGCTGACTTGGGTTTTAAGTAATATCAGTTATTGGTTAAATCACCTCTAGAAAGACAGCTCATAGCAATGGAGAATGATTCAAGACTTGGGAGACTGAACAAAAACCTATTATCAAGTGATAGGACAAATCTTAGTGAAAGTACAAGTTTGGTGGGAATGAGATTGAAGACAGACTACATTAGAGTTGCCAAGAGAATGAATCTAGAAAATGAAAAGATCATCATAGCTTCCTAATACAATTAGCATTGACTTGTAGGCTATTACCCAAGTTAGTAATCAGTAAACTATGACCCAAGGGCCTAATCTGGCCCATCACATGCTTTTTGTTTGCTGCTTGAGTGAAGACAGGTACTTTTAAATGGTTGAAAACAGATAAAAAGAAAAATAATCACATGATATGTGAAAATTATACTGTAGGGTAAGGTAAAAAGTATCAGGCTTTTCTGCCCTCCCGCCATTAGGATAGATGACAGAACCCTGTGGTCCTGAATGCATGCCTGATAGTGGGCACCTGGAATAGGGTGTGGGCATATGTAGATGGGATTCACCTGGGCTAAGACTGGGCTTATAAGGGCAGTGTCATGGGGACACCAGCAGAACAGAACTACCAGAGAGAGCAGAACCACAAGAGCAGCAGAGAACAAGGCAACCAGAGAATGCCAGAGAGCCCTAGAAGAGTGAAGACTTGCTGGGGGCTGGGCGGCCTGCCAGCCTCCTGGCCCCCCAGCACCCCTGCCTGCTGTGTACCTGGTAAATTCCAATAAAAGCCTGAAAAGCCACTGAGGGCTCCAGAACTTGTCCTTTACCCGGTCTGCTTGGGTCATAGAGATCCTGATCTGTCCATCCTGCCCCTACATATACCAAATTCAAATTTCAGTGTACAGAATGTGTTACTGGAAATACCTATACTCATTTGTTTATGTATTGGCCATGACTACTTTTGCACAGCAGCTGCAGAACTGAATAGTTACAACAGAGAAAGGTGGCCCAGAAAGCCCAATACAGATCTAGTTGGATCTTTACAGAAAAGTTTGCTGAACTTTGGTTTAAGTAGTTGATAATATTTGGAACCACCAGCTATATAGATATGGTTGACATGTTCATTCAAAACTGTTCATTTGGACTGAGCTGGTGAAACATGCAAATTAAGAATATCATTATAGAAAATGAACAGAGTTTGAGATTCACTATTGATCCACGGTGGTGATGTTGTGTAGGGGCTTGTTTTGGTAGACTTCCCTCTTAAACACTGTGAGTCTTGTCTTTCCAGTCTCCAGTGTTGCCATGTGGTTTATTTGACAGTTACTGCTTTTATCCCCTTTCCTTTTTTTTTTTGTTTTTGTTTTTGCTGCTTTGCTTTTTTAACACTATTCTAAAGATGACATATTAACAAGTGGTATTGGTAGTGCAACTCTGGACATATTATCTTTTGGAATAGTAAGACTTATAGAAATGCACCTTGAATATTAGGACTTATAAAACGCACCCATATTTTAATTGCTATGTTAACCTCAATAGGTATATTTATCAGCTATAGTCACTATCTAATCACACACGTACCCAAACTGAAAAGAAAAATCATACAAAGAAATCAATTTGATACCATTGAAACAGTTAGAATTTAATCATCTATCTGAGGTGATTTTACATAAGGAGATTCAGCTAAGTTTTAGCAGGATGCACTAATTATTGACAGGGTTTATGCGCAGGAAGGTGTTAATTACATAAGTGCCTGTTGACATGTAACATGGATTTGTTCCTTCATTTTGGTAAATTTTTTTTTAAAGATTTATTTATTTATTTATACAAGCACTAGGTACAGTCAGAAGCACGGGAGGGTGAGAGAATTCACCAGAGCCAGAGCGGGGAACAGAACAGGCAGACTGACGAAGAAATACACCGCTGAGGGGAGCAGTGGGCGGCAGGAGAGGTCTGCTGTGCCATGTGGGACCCTCGCCCGGTGGGCCGGGATTGAACCAGCGCTGCAGAGGCTGCAGGCAGCTTCGCAACCCAGCGCTCAACTGCTGCGCCACCGGGGAGGCCTCATTTTGGTAATTTTTTGAGCACACTTTTACCACATATAACTTGGAGCAATTCAATAATGAATAACTTACTAAGAGAACAACAAAAAAGTAATTAAGAAACAGGATGAATCAGTTTGACAAACAATACATACTGACTGGGAAGGGAAGAGCTAATGTTTCAAATCACAAACATCTCAGTAATGTGCTCATTACCCATATTATTAATAATTAAATAATGAAGATAATAATCATAGTCATTGTTTTTTATACAGTGATCCTCTATTTGTGCACTCAAAATATTACAATGTTATTTCTATGTTTACATAGATCATCAGGTCAGGAGGCCTGGAATTTTATCCCTTTTTTCATATTGAGAAAAGTAAGGGAGAGAATTGAATCTGTTGGTTCAAGAGTATACAGTAAATAAGTTGGTGATAGCATTTTGAAAAATCTCTTGTTTAATCGAGGTGTTTTAGATGGATTCTCTTTTCTCTTTGTCCCACTCTATGCTTCTTATCTCATTCAAAACTAATAAAGACAGAACACTAAAATAGTTATGAAATGCGGGTTTAAGGGAAAAAAGGACACACTGGTACTTTGGACATGATAATGTGCAGGACTCCATGTATAAACACCATGGTTTTTCTTATTTAAAAAAAATCCACTACAATATAAAGTACATAAGTTAAAATAAAGTCTCATTTCTATTCCACTTCTTAAAATTAATAATTGTGTCTCTACATATTTTGTTATCCACAAAAATAGATGGTTTTATTATTTACAAAAACTGGAACATGGAATTCATATTATTCTGCCAACTTTTTTTTTATTAAAATGTGTCACTGACCTTTTGCATGTTAACACATGTAGCTCTGCCTTAATGCTACGATTGTTTACTTTTCTGTCATACTTAAGTTGTTGTGGAATAAATAGAACTGATATTTCAGAATTCTGCATAATGACCATATACTTTTGATAATTATGTCATATTTCCTATAATTACAAGTTGGAATGTTTTGACAGTAGTAGAGAAGCACCTCCCTCCCCTTGTACCCCTCAAAGTTTTGCTTACGTCTGCTATATGCATCTCCTTTCTTCTGCAACAAGTGGATAGCAAGCATTCAGGGATGAAAGAACAGGAGTCAGTTTTTAGACACATCTGCACATAAAAAAATAACCATCACATGGAGAAGTCTTTTTATATTGCAATAATTGCCATTCTAGGAACAGGTGTTTGCAATTCCACTCAAGGGAGAACTGGAGATGGAAGAGATTGGAGAGAGGAAGATGAAGTTCCCTTGGTTACGGCCCCATGGGAAAGTCACAGGTACATGGGAGGAGACCAAGTAAAGTCCCTGGAGCCTTCTGCTACATCCCAGGGCCTTAGGCAGGGGTAGAGTCACGATGTAATGATGACACTACTCACTTCTGCAACGATGTTCCCATAGAACAGAACTTCATGTCAGAACCAGGATGTGATGATGGTGTGGCAGGGATCAAATGATAATATCATTTCCTGGCCCTGTATCACTGGGAAACAATATCTCCTTGATTCCTGTAAGCTAAAATTATATATTATGAAATGCTTTGCAGTTTGCAAAAAGTTTTCACGTTGATAATGGGTTCTTATAATCCACCATGTTCTTCAGACAGAAGAGGTATTCTGTCCCTTATTGACAGATGGAGAAACTCAGCTTAGAGTTTGCTCAAACTACAAGTAAGTGAGGGAAGAGCTGGATCCAGAATTCTCTTTATTCTAATTCAATCCCTGGTTTCTCTCCAGGATAACAACACATTCCCCTCTGATTTTCTTCCCATCCTCATGTACCAGACAGGCTTACAGAGATAAGAATACATACCACTGAGTCTACCAACTTGATAATTAGTTCAAGAAATTTAAAATAATCAACTCTATACCCAACTCTGAACTTGGAATATAAATTTAAACTCTGTACTCAACTCTGACTTCTTGTTTCATTTTTTCAAACTTTTGAACTTTCTTAGCAAGGGAAAGGAAAATTTACTTATCAAACAAAAATCAGGTTGACCAACATCTTTTAGCATTATGTGTTTTCAAGACAGAACACATGGGACAGGTTGAGGGAATTTCATCAGAAGGGATATCCTGAAGCATCACTGAAGTTTAGAAGTAAATATTAGCTCAAAACTCAGGTTCTTCAGAAGAATTCTCTAGTTACCTCTTAATTGTATCCTCAAAGTTGGGTTTAGAGATAATAAGAAAAATAGAGATAAATAGAATTAGAAACTCTTTCTGGAACTTGGCATAGTTCAAGCTATAACATGTTTCATAGGATGTTGAAACTTTTAGAGTGTTCAAACAGGCTTTAAATGTTTTCATAGCTCTTACAGTGCATAACTCAGTGTCTTTGCACAGCCAGAGAAAATAAATTACAGCTAACACTTAGCACTTTCTATATGCCAGGCACTGTTGTAAACACTTTATATACGGCAATTTATTTAACCCTCCCATAAATACAATGAGCAAAACCTTAACCTATATCACCTGGTCCTATACCATCTTTATTTTATTTTATATTTTAAAGATTTATTTATTTATGCATGCAAGAACTGGGGTGTAGGCCAGAGGTGCAGGGGTGAGAAGATTCACCACAGAGAGTGGGGAGCAGAACAGGCAGATCTACTGAAATACACTGCTGAGGGGAGCAGTGGGCGAGGCAAGAATGGTCTGCTGCACCATGTAGGTTGCTTGGTGGCCAGCAGGGGATTGAACTGGTGTGGCAGTGGCTGGTGATCGCTTGATAGCACTGTCTTTAACCCCTGTGCTACCAGGGAGGCCCCATCTTCATTTTATTGTGAAGGAAACTGAGACACAAATTTTTTGCCTATAATACAGCAACCAGAGCCAGGATTGTCTTCAGCTGCTTGGGATTGTGACCTGTTCTAAACTAAAACAGTACTCTACCACCTCGGTGTCCCAAATTCCCCAGAAATATCTCCTTTCCTAAGAGATGGGTACAGTATGCTTTGCAATATCATTAATCTATTGTTTTCTTTTTCAGGCCAGCTGTGGTGAGAGTCAGAAAGAGAGCTTGTTTGGAGCCCTGGGTTATTGGCCTCATCACCTTTATCTCCCTAATTGTACTGGCAGTGTGCATTGGGCTGATTGTTCATTATGTGAGATACAGTAAGTATGGGATGTCCTGGCATCATGAGATTTATCCCCAATATTTCCTCGTGTCCATTCCTGTTTTGATTTGCCTCAGGCTTACTCATTCATTACTTGTAATTCATTTGCATGACAGGTTCAAAGAATTTTTACCTGCCTTGTCTCTCATTTCATCCTCACAAGCCAGGGAGAATTCTTTATTCTATCTTTGATGTAGTAATGCCCCTGCTGGGAAGAGGATGCTAGTTTTTTTAGTGATAAGCAAGTCTTTTTAAATTTTTTTTTTATATTTAAAGAACAGGCTTATTCAAAAAGGGACAGAGAAGTAAAGGACACTTGCACAGACACAAGCAGGCAGGAAGAGCCGCCAGTGATAAGCAAGTCTTAGGTAGAGGAAGGTCAGAGGACCCCAACATATTGAGTTGTTTGGGGTCATACGGCAATCTCCTTGATTTAAAATAATTCCAGCTCATTGAAATCCTGACAACTCATAGAGAAGTAGGCTGTATTCTGTATTAGTAAGTTGGAAAAATGCTCAGAGTGATATAATGTTGAATGAGTGTCTGGTTTTGTTATTTTAAATCTTATCTTTGGATATATTGCAAATGATTAAAGGGATGGGATGTGAAAATCAGGTGTATTGTTCCTTAGAAGGACCATAAGTCTGTTATTAGAAAGATCCCCAGGAACCTTAGACCTGTTCTTCCAGAGTATAACAACCCTTCTGAAGTTTTCTTCTGCCTTACCTCAGGTTAATCAACTCCACTATGACTTATGGGTTTAATATCTCCCTTGGTGGTTAGATAATGCTTTGATGTTTAAGACCCCGTAACCAAAGAAGCTAATCACCTGATTATAATTTAATTGGAATTTGCAGACACTATTTTCTGTAAACAGAAATGGTGGTCTGTAAGGTGGTTATTTTCTTCCACTAGCTGACACAAGTTCAATATTAGTTTCCAAAACAAGGTGGATCATTTGTGGGAAGTTTAAAGAAATATTTAAAGTACAAATGCTTTTGGTAAAATTTACCCACTTGCAGGTTTTTAAATTTGAAGTATCTGTATTTTGGTAATTTCTCCAGAGCATGTTTTCAACAACAAAAAAGAAAAGCTGAAACAACATTACAATTTGGCAGTTCTGTTATAAATGGGTCAAGTACAATTATGTTGTGTCATTATTATTCTCCATGGATGCCTAAGACTATGTTTTATTCACTTTTAAATTTCCAGAACTTAGGAGAATCTTGTCTCATATCAGCTACTTAATTGATGGCTAGTGACTACGGAATGAAAAAAAAAATGAATGAGTCATAGCTACGATATTTTCTTGGGGCATACTTCATGAGAGATTCTAGAGGTCTATTTACCTCAGTGAGAGAAAATGTTTTTTACTACTTCTCCTTTATCTTTTTTTCAAACCAAGTGGTATAAGACTTACAAACCTTACTCATACACATACAATGCAAACCTGGCAAGAATTTCCAGTAACCTATTCCTGAATGCTATTGTTTGGATGATCAGCTGAGTAACAGGGAACACAAAGTTACACTGCCCACACAGCACACCTGAACAAACAGCAATTGTTGTGATGTGTGTGTTACCGTCATATTGTGACCTGCCCTCTGCTTGGGACGTAAACTAAGAACAAGTGGCTATAGCACATAAGCATTTAGAAACTGGCACACCTAGATAAGCAAACCAGACCAAACAAATCTGTTCCAGATGGAGGTGATCAGGTTTGAGTAACATCATTTTGGCATAAAGTCCATGACAGCATAGTACTGTGCCTGCAGTTTGAGTCCAGTGACCTTTGGAGCTATATGTCTTTGGAGCTATATGATTTGAATGACAGAAGGTGAATCTGTTATGATCAACATCACTGCAGGAATCACAAATCTATTCTCTTTTCTAGGACCTATTATTCAATGTGTGCCTAGGTACCAGCAATGTTACCAGAATCTAGGAACTTGTTAGAAATATAGAATGTTGGACCCAACTTTAGTCCTAATGTGAACTATATATAGTTCAATATTTCAATAAATTAAGAATCTTACTTGAAATTATGTATATTACCAGTGATCTGTGTACTTTACGTTGCCCTGGCCATTCAGGGCAAGGTCAGTCATGAGAAGGACGTAAACAAGTGAAAAACTTCCTTTGTCCCTTATTTAGGTGGGTAATGCACAGGAGATCCTGACCTTTTAGCATCTGTAGCCTGCAATCCAGGCCTGGTCAGTGTCTGATCCATGGCTTCACTCTCTCTGTTCCCACTAAATCCTCTGGAAGACCGGGATGTTATTTTGAAATGTACCATTATTTCTTTTGCACAACTTTTATAAAATAAGAGATTTCTCCTAGAGTTTCAGTGAATGGAGTTTTTTTTTCCCCACCCCAAGAAGCTGTACATAAAGAAAACTTGTATTTGGGGAGTTAGACCTTGGCTTGAAAGCCTATCTATCTTTTTTGGTTATGCCAAGTTGGAGTTTGGCAATTTATTTACTTTTCTGAGACTGTGGTCCTGACTTATTAAAGGTGGGAAATACTGCATCCCGATGGGGGCTGGAAGGGAGTGAGAAGGTTATTGTAAATTAAATGAAATGTGTGAATATGCCTGGGACACAGGTGCCCAATGCTAACTTCTTTTCCTCTGGGGTTAAGTGAAGAGAGAAAAAATGAGAAGCAAGACAGGAAAAGAGGAGAGATTGAGATTGGGTGATAGGCACTCTATTTTCCTATAACACACATACACCATCTTAATCACCATTGTATTCCTAATGCTCAGCAGAGTGTTCATACAGAAAAGGTAGTCAGCTTCATTGTTTATTGACTAGATCTCCTGAGGACTCTCTGTGTTTTATGTGTGGGAGGACAGATGAAAAGATATGTTTGTTTATTCAAAGATCAAAAATATGGGTTGTTTCAATTGGGTGCAGAAAGTAGAGACAGTGGCTAGGAAGCAGACAAGGCAATCCCTGTAGCTGGTGGGAGAAAATAAATGGAAGGACAAGAGACCTACACAAAACTAAGTGTCCTGTAAGGGACACTATAAATAAATAAAATTTAGTTAGCCAAAATAAATTTTCTCACACCAGAGTTCTCATGACCAGAATTGATGTGTAGTTTACTGAATAGGAAACGATCTACTTCAGAATCATAAAATAAATTTACCCTTGAGAAACTTCTGAATCCATGCATGTTTGTGTGCCCAGATGGCATGAATTATTGCCTCTTGAGGCTTATTCAGGACTGGGTCACATGAGTAATTAGTCACAGGTTCAGTATGATACCTGTATAATGCCCCTGAATATCAATTATTTCTTATGTTTTTATACTCTAAATCTCATCATGGTGAATACTGTTTTTTATACTAGAGAACCATGAAGACCAGGGCAGGATGATGAAGATGATGGACTAGAGTAGAGATAACATTTCCTGTTTCAGTCTTTCTAGCAATCACCAAATTGGGGAAATGATGATCCTTTATGCACACTTGGTAAAAAATTATGATGGTTTGCCTTTTTCCTTGTAGATCAAAGGAAGACATACAATTACTATAGCACATTGTCATTCACAAGTGACCAGTTGTATGATGAGTTTGGAAAAGAAGCTTCGAAAAGTTTCACAGAAATGAGCCAGAAAATTGAATCAATGGTAAGTACTTTTTCTCTATTTCTAGGGCATTTGCAGTCACTTTTTACTTTTATTTATTTTTTTAAAGATTTTTATTTACGCATACAAGAACTAGGGTGTAGGCCAGAGGTGAGTGGGGAGGGGGGTGGCGGGGGTGTGAGAGAGGATTCGCCAAAGAGAGTGTGGAGCAAAAAGCGCAGATTTGCTGAAATACACTGCTGATGGCAGCAGGTGGGCAAGACAAGAGAGATCTGCTGCGCCATGTGGGTTAGCTACTTGCGCAAGGATTGAACTCATGCCACTGTGGCTTACGGTAGCTTGATAGAGTCTCAGCTAGAGACTCTATCAAGCAAGAGAGGCCCCGTGGTCACTTTTCAATTGTAATTTTACATAGTCTGGCTTCTAAACATCCATTCAACATATCTACATACTTTCACAAAATGGGAAGAGGAACAACCCAACAGAAGTAAAACAAACTGATGGTACATGACTTGAGTGCATATGCCTTGCAGGGCTGACAAGTGACCTTTAGTCATTTATTTATGTCACTCCCACTCTCTCCTTACCTAGTGTTACACTCTTGATCAGCTGGTTCAGAAATTCTGGGAATGTGAGAGTGACTCAAAATATGGCTGTTGTTTCTTAAACTTCCTAAAGAAGTGACTTTGACCAAAACACTACAAGATTAAAATTATTTAGGTACATATTTGAAAAGCACTTAGTATTTAAAAATGTTTAGCCTTGGACCAGTTTTTGTTACATAAGACTATGGGAAATCCATGGAAAATGATTTCTGTCATAAAGGCCTCTATATTCATACTGAGAGATGAGTCAAATTTTTTAAGAAGTAGAAAAATTAGCAGTATAAGCCCAAATAACAAGGGTGTGGGTGATGGTTTCTAATCATTATTGAATTACTTAGAGCATAACTTCAGCTTTTCCTGGTAGTGTGAAGAACTGGGTGAGGATTATGCCAGGATAACTTGGCAACTTTCTTACCAGGTTTGGGAACCTGTGACTAGGGAGTCATTTCTATTACACAAGTATTGGCAGAATAATTTCATTTCCTTTGTCTACCTATAATAAAAGCATGTTCATCAGATGTGAATGTTTCCTCTCACTTTTCAAAAAACAGCATGTTTATTCTATTTTGTTTCTTTCTGTGTGTAGTACTATAGATGTCACTATGGGTCCCCAGCTTCAGAAATCCTAAGTCAAAGTTCAGTTCAAATCACTGAATAGAACACCAAAAAGATTCCTCAATTTCAGTACATGGTGAAAAGTTGGTCAATGTTTTTTGTTTTGTTTTGGTTTTTTATTTTTTAAATATTTTTAAGCTTTTAATTAACTGGCAGAATTTTACAAAGTTGTTCCTGCTAACATTTTGAATATTTTTGCAACAGGTGAAAAATGCATTTGACAGATCTCCACTGAGAAGAGAATTTGTCAAGTCTCACATTATCAAGTTCAGGTATGTAGACCAAAAACTGCTGACTTCTGAATATAATTTAAATTTGAAGTTTTTCTCATGGTTAGTAACAAATATGTAAATGTCATTTATTTAGCAAGCATTCATTTGGTACCTGTTCTATGTAAGAAGTGCATTACAATGTGCCTTACTCATTCTCTAAACCCAAAAGAAAGCATTTGCAAGAAGATTGTGAGAGACAGATTTGCTATTGTTATGTTAGAGAATTGTTTTAGGGAAATAGCACAAATGAAAACAGATATGAATCTAAGCCACATCCATTGGTTTAACAGCAGATAGTGCCCTGTGAAAGTAGTAGATGATGTTTGTGTCACTCCCTTGTCCTCTTTCTTGTCAGTTTTCTTTACATTCATCCATCCAGCCCCTTTCTGCTCCAAACATTTAATAGTGTCCAGACCTAATAATCAACCATTAATAAATAGAAGTCTGTTAAGAAATAGAAGGTCTAAGAAAATAGAATACATATATTTAAACAAGTTTATGGGGATTTTTTTAAGATTTACTTATTTATTTATGTATATAAGAACTGCGGTACAGGCCAGAGGTGTGAGAGAGTGGGGTGGTAGTGATAAGAGGATTCACCAGAGTCAGAGTGGGAAACAGAACAGGCAGATTGACTGAAATACACTGCTGAGGGGAGCAGCAGGTGAGTCAGGAGAGGTCTGCTGCACCATGTGGGCAGCTCCCTGGCCCGTATTGCACTCGTGCTGCAGTAGCTGCGGATAGCTTCATAGTGTTATAGAGCAACCCCAATATTAAACGGGTTCCTGGCTGTGGGTCCTCACCCGCGCTTTAAAGGGACTTATGAATACTCTACTACAGACACACACAAAAGGGTTAATAAAAGGTTTATTTACAAGAGAAAAAGAAATAAGGAAAATGTACAACTCAGGGAGAAAATAGGGAAATAAAGTCTTTAATGCGTCCTACCCGATCCGACGACCTGGAAACCCAAAGTCACTCTCAGAGCTGGCCGGACGCTGCGAGCTGGCCGAGAGCCCAAAAATGGAGAGCCCCCAAAGCCCACGTGTCTGCCTTTTGTATCCACCTGGCTGCTTAACCCCACCCTCAGGTCCCAGCCACCTTCCCTTTGGTGGTGATGGGATTTGGAGTTCCCAGTGTCTTTGGCTTTGACCTGGGGTGGGGTGGAGTCCACAAAGCCTATATGGAATTTGCTTTGGGACATCCTTTTCCCCCTAACAATAGGTTGTGTCTTAAAGCCCTTTGCCACCAGGGAGCCCCCAAAATTTCTATTTCTAGTCTAAATTACTTCTTGATTTCTAGAACTATACGCCACCCCATGAAACATCTTCATGTGGAAGGTCTACAGAAAATTTTCTAATTCAAAGGAAGATCCAGTCACACTAATGAAAACCTGAAAGTCGTTATGTGCTCTTCCCTTCCCTGGTGATAATTAAGTTCAACAAATTCTGTCTTTCAAATCACTTTCCAATTTGTTTCTTTATCCTAGTAATCTTGCTACTCATTATTATTTATTCTGTTACTGCAAGAGAAAAAAGTGCAAATTTGTTACAAAGATAGGCTATGGAATTGAGATACTAAGAGACCACAGGAGACTGAAACATGAGTCTGAATTGGGGGAAGAAAAAGAAAACAGAGTTGAAGATATAAATTTCTCATCATCAACTGAAGGTATTAGAAAGTCTGGTTACACTGATTTTTTTTTTTTTTTTCTCAGAAAAAGGGTATTACCAAAAAAAAAAAAAGAAAGATGAAAAAACTTGAAGAACAATATTTAGGAGATAGAATAAAAATAGGATCTAGGAAATAGAGTGGCAACAAGCAGGAGAAAAGAAAAATCTTGAGAGAGGCACCACTATGTTAAAGACACAAAGTTTCCAGGACAGAGTTGTTAGCATTGACAAGTAATCCTCAGAGAACAAGTAAAGACTGAAAAGAAGCCACTGGCTATGACAACAGGAAGTCAGTCATTAGTGCTTAAGTAGAGAAATGACTCAGTGGAATAGAAAGGGAGGAAGCAGACTACAGTGAAGTAAATATGAGGCAGAATACAATTTATCCCTTCAAGTAGGTTTGCTGTGATAAGAAGGTATGAGATGGATATTTGAAAGAGTTTTGGTTTTGTTTTTACTTCCATTTGCCTGTCACTGTAGGAATACTTAAAAAAACAAAGAAAAGAGAAGAAAAAAATAGTTGATGAACAGGCATGCTAGTGCAGTGAAAAGGGATGAGATCTAATCCTTTTAAATCCTGTGCTTCTTCAGACTTCAAAAGCAGTATAAAAAATATATGATTTAAATACCTCAGTATAATATAAAATAGAAGGTGAAATCTCCCTCTCCAATTCTACTCCCCAAATAACACACCTCCTTTTTTAAAAATTTAAAATTAAAAAAATTAATAAGTACCATTATTTTACATCCTTGTTAATTTATGACAGTGTAGGATTTCTCCCTTCTGGTGTCACACATCTTCTTAGCAATTTATTTTTTGCACAGCTTTCTAATGACTGTATATAAATCATATATTTCATTCTTTAACCAACTGTGTAATATTTTACTATAGGTCTGAGTCAGAGTTGATTTAGCCAATGACTTTTTGATGGATACTTAGATTGTCACATAGTTTTCTGATTTTAAAACATGGTGATGATGAACATACACACACACATATCTCCTTGAATAGATAAGAGTGTCTTTGAGGATTAAATTTTTGAAAGTAGAAATGCTGCATCAGAGAGGATGGCTTATCAAATTTATAATAAACAAAATTGCTCTATAAAATAAGATTCTAATTTACATTTCTATTTCAGTTTATGTAAGTAGGGTATGTGGTATAGTGAGGAGTCAGATTCTTAGGGAACTAAGTGTATATGAAAAAGAGGGGATAGAGTAGCTGAAAGAGAATGAGAAAGAATTCAGTGATGATTCCAAGGTAGCGACAAATTCAAATAACACAAAGGATATTAATGCTATATATTAAAAAGACATATATATGAAGTCAGTATAATTTGGTCAAGCTTTCTAATATTCTTAGATTTAGAAATTGTTTAGGAGAGCATAAAGTTTGCTTAAGAAAAATCATTGGATTTAAGACATTGGGAATTAAACCTGAAGATCAAAAGCAGAGGTGATATTCACCATATTTGATCATTTTGAATGGCTGACAACAAAATGTCTTTTTGTATTTTTTTTTAAGATTTATTTATTTATATAAGCACTGGGTATGTTATAGGGCAGGGAGAGGGGCAGCCCAAACCCCGCAAACCTGCCTATTCTAAATGGGTTCTGCCATTCGCCGCATCAACACAAAATATATGAGACTTTAATGGGAAGGAACTTTAATAAAACTAGGAAACAATACAGGTAAGGCAAAGAGTCTAGTTTCTAAATGAAGCACCCAAAGTTACCCGTCCCCTCGTGGGTAAAAGTCCATCCATATGGGATTGGCCCAGAGCAAGGCCCCAAAGCCTGCCACAAGTCTAAAGCATCTTCCAGTGGGGACCCACAGAAAAGGGCCAGAAACAACCAGACAAGCCTGGAAGAAAAAGAGCAAAATCAACACCAAGATAAAAGCTGCCATTGTCACCTCCCCACGGGTCTCACCCACATCTGTGTCACCCCGTCCACAACCAAAAGACAAGCGCAGTTTCTTCACGTGTCTCTAGGCTCCATGTGCCTCCTCCAGGTCTCCTGGCTCCATCTTGCTTCCTTCCTCAGTCTCTTCTCCATCTTCTCCTCTTCCTGCTCAGCTCCACCCTCCCTTGGGTGGGGCAGGGAACCTCCCCCTTTCCTGGGGACCACCCTGTTACAGGTACAGTCAGAAATGCGCGAGGGTGAGAGAATTCACCAGAGCCAGAGCAGGGAACAGAACAGGTAGAATGATGAAATACAATGCTGAGGGGAGCAGCGGGCATGGCAGGAGAGGTCTGTGGAACCATGTGGGACCCTCGCTGGTGGCCAGAGATGGAACCTGTGATGCAGAGGCTGCAGGCAGCTTTGCAGCCCAGCGTTCAACCGCTGCACCACCAGCGGAGGCCCCAAAATGTCTTTTTACATTGATAAAATATGTATTTAACTAGACCTTATGGTGAGAAGGAAGACCTTGAGCACGCTAGCTTACTATTAGGGAGGCTCAGTTGGGAGGTCTATGTGTGATAAATAATTATAATATAGATCAAAACAAACTGGATCTTTTAAAATTAAATTCTAGATTGTGTGTATTTCAAATGATAAAAAAGATTGTAATAGTATCATAAATCTTATTCTGAAATATGTTTTAAAACCAAATTTTTCTTTATTGGCCCACAGTCAAGAGTACCATGGAGTGCTAGCTCATATGCTGCTGATTTTTAGATTTCGTTCTACTGAGGATCCTGAAACCCTGAACACACGTATTCAACGTATTCTGCATGAAAAACTACAAGATGCTGTAGGACCCCCTGAATTAGATCCTGAATCAGTTGAAATTAAAAGTAATTTTTTTTCTCTTATGTCTTGTATTTCTCTTACACAGAGTAGCTACATGTTAAATTTGGTCTTGAGCACATTTAAAAACGTTTTTTTGAATGTCCTTTAATTTGGGGTATTGCCGACAGAACTTTTTTTTTGGCATTAAATTTGTCTTAATGAAGTATTTTAATTTTTAATACTGCCCAAATATTATGCCTCTGATACAAATACAAATAACTCCCAGGACTGGGTTCCTTTGCTATATTGGGCCTTACACTTTAGTTAGAGAATCCAACCATAAAATGGAGAAAGTGGCTTTGTATATGTTCCTCTTCTTTTCTTATTATTTTCATTTTATATTCTGAGAATTTAGAGGTTAGATACTTTTGCCTTCTATGCAAATGTCATTAATATACCTTGTTATAGCTTCTCTTAGACCATTTACCAATGAAAAATTTATAATATATTTATTCTTGGTTTTGGTATATTTTATGACTAATTTGAAATAACTGGTATTTTTTGTTTTGTTGTTTTAAGGGGACAAGGGCAAAATAAATGATGATAGGTCTTCATTACTAGACATTAGGAAACAAGGGAAATCCTCAGTGGAAATAAGAGTTAATGTCATGGGCCTCCCCTGGTGGTGCAGGCAGTTGATCGCTGAGCTGTGAGGCTGTCCGCAGCCTCTGCAGCACCAATTCGATCCTGGTCGACCGGCGACCGTAGAGGGTCCCACATGGAGCAGCAGACTTCTCCAGTCATGCCCGCTGCTCCCCTCAGCAGTGTATTTCGTCACTCCTCCTGTTCTGTTCCCCCAACACTGTTTCTGGTGATTCCTCTCACCTTCCCACACATCTGGCCTGTACCCTGGTTCTTGTGTAAAATAAATAAATAAATCTTTAAAAAAAAAGAAAAAAAGAGCTAAAGTCATATGCTACACAGGAATCTTAGTCTGTGGACCTATAATGTGCACCACATCTATGAATTCAAAATTTCTAGTAGTCACATTAAAAAATTAAAGTAAAAGTGAAATTCATTGAAATAATTTGATATCTAAAGATTTATTATTTCAACAAGTCGTCAATGTGAAAATTATTCATATTTTTTTCTACTAAGGCTTTGAAATACAGTGTATATTTCATATTTATGGCACATTTCAAGTTAGAACTACATTTCAGTAGCTCCCTAAGCACATGTGGCTAATGGATATAATACTGGATATCCAGGCCCTTGGTAAGACCTTTTTCTTACTTAGAAAGGCAGGCTCCAATATTCAGGGTCAGCTATATAATTTGTGGAGTCAAATGCAGTTGGAGTCTTTCAAAAGGCAGTTAAAAAGTTCTGAGTTCTGTTAAAAGTAGTAGAATAAAAGAACTTTCTTTCATTGTCTCTCTTGACCTGTCATGGTATTATTATTTGCTAATTAATGATTTTCTAAGTGAAAAAAAAATTTAGATTACTAGCATGAGTTTTACTGGTCACCTTGATATTGGGAAATGTCAATTATAATGCAAAGAGCATTTAACATTTATGTGGATCATGAAAATTACACAACTGTACTTGATAGTTCATACATGCATACTTTTTGGTTCTTACTAGATCAATGGAAACACTATTCAAGCTAATTCGACCTTATTTATTTTTGTTCTTGATAAGTAGACATTTTACCAACATTTTTTACCTTTAGCTTAAGTGAGGAAAGGACAGAAAAGTTCTTCTATGTAATTATGATAAGCACAAGTTGTTGGCTGATACAAAGAAGCAATGCGAGCAAGAAATTAATGGTGTCCCTTGTTTGCACCTGTCTATTAGAATATTATGACTTCTTTCTGCTTTCGAAGCAAGTTCTGGTTCAAACAGAAAACATAGCCTCCTGCTCAGCGTAGCTGCATAAATCACACATTCCTGAAGTCCCTCCTGTTAGTGGTATCAACATGCAAGCCAAAACTCTCTTTAGGACTTGCTTGAAATAAACGGAGATTAAGGAGGTGTTTGTTTGTTTGTTTGTTTTTGTGGGACCCTCCCTGGTGGCCGGGGTTCGAACCTGCGCTGCAGAGGCTGCAGTGCTCAACCGCTGCGCCACCAGGGAAAGCCCAAGGAGGTGCTTTTTAATATTTACTGAAAAGTGGTCACTTCTTCCTTCTTTTTGCCATTTTCTATGAAAAGCCAGGTGAGGAAAAAGATAACCTTTCTAGGAATACAGAATTCTAGTAAATCAACACTATTAAACACTGAAAGAAAAACTAATATTAAAATTTTTGCATGTATTACTTCCATACTGCCAAGTTTAAAGAGAATATTTTGGTCAAATTGCTGAGTTAGGAAATTTGAGTGCTTAGAGTTTTATGTATGTTGGTTGTCTCAGTGTTTGCTTAGGGCTAGGGCTTGATTGATGAGAAGTCAGTGGATAGAGTTGAATGGGTTTACCTTCAAATTGTCTTGCTAATATTTTAGCAGAAAGAACCTAGAAAGGGATGACATTGTTTTTATTATTTATCTATTTATTTTTTACATAAGATTTATTTATTTATACAAGAACTGGGGTACAGGTCAGAGGCATGGGCGGGTGAGAGAATTCACCAGAGACAGAGCGGGAAGCAGAACAGGCAGATGGACCAAAGACACTGCTTAGGGGAGCAGCGGGCTAGACAGGAGAGGTCTGCCATGCCATGTGGGAATCTCCCTAGCAGCGGGGATTTGAACCCGCGCTGCAGAGGCTGCGGACAGCTTCACAGTGCGGTGCTCAACCCGCTGTGCCACCAGAGAGGCCCGACAATGAAAACGTTTTAAATGGGAGTGAGGACTAATCTCTGGACATGCGATACAAGTGAAGCTATGCCCATAAATTTCATAATCTGAAATAATAGTCAATAAAAATATCATTGTATGGAGGGACTCCAATCCTATGGTTTAGAATAGCACTTCCCCTAATGAGGTTGTGGGCTACCTGCTTCTTATTTCCTAGCACAAAATTAAGATTCCTGGGCCTACAGACCAGAATTACTGGGAAGAGAGATTAAATATATAAAAATTTATACTATACTATATTTATATTATAAAAATGTTCCTTTGCTGACTCCATTTTTTTTTTTTTAAAAGATTCATCCATTCATGCATACAAGAATTGAGTATAAGCCAGAGGTGCAGGGGATGAGAGGATTCACCAGAGACAGAGTGGGGAACAGAACAGATGGATCTACTGAAATACACTGCTGAGGGGAGCAGCGGGCGAGGCAGGAGAGGTCTGCTGCGCCATGTGGGCAGCTCCCTGGCAGGCTGGGGATTGAACTTGTGCTACAGTGGCTGCAGACAGCCCCATAGGTTGTGCCTCAACCCCTTGCACCATCAGGGAGGCCTCCCTTGCTGACTCTTATCTGCACTAGTTTTTAAGAAACATTTTTGAGAACTTCCTTTTCCCCAAGGTTATGAATATACTATGTCTATAATAAATTAACAGTGTTGCTTTTTTTGCAACCTAGAGATATTATCTTATAGAATTATGTGGCCTTTAGTAGTTCAAGTCCTCAGAGGCATTGCTCAATTCTGATGTGCTGATCCTGTTCTATTAACCATTTGTGTGTATTTCAGAAATCAACAGGACAGAAACAGACACATTTCTGAACAATTGTAAGTTTTAATATATTTATTAAAATTGTATTATCTGATTACAGAAAGTTAACACTAGATTATTTAGGCTTACTTTATGTGGTATTATTGGGTCAGAATAAAGTGCACAGCTCAAGTTTCTTTATCTTATCTCAGAGGCTCATTTTATTATTATGGAATAAATAACAAACTTGGAAGAATTTTGGAGTAAATGTATGGGTGCCATTACACATTTGTAGTAAAAGTGAGTTGTGCAATTGTTAAAGAAGAGGCAAAAATTTTTACATCTCAACGTTTTGATTGTAGATATCTATTATATATTCTTATAAAATTTCCCTAAAGATTAGATGAAAGTAGTCTGTATGTTGGTATTTTTTCAGCTGGAGGCAGAAACTTCTTGTTACTCTACCATAAATATAATTTTAATGTTATTTTTCTAATATTATGAAAATTGCAGGCAATATGCGGTGGTTATATATATTGACAAATTACTGAAGGTGCAGATTTTATATATATGCATACATATGTATTTTAAAAATACTACTTTAGGGCTAGTATTTTCCTTTCCTATAGCAGAGTTATCCAGCATGATTTAGACATAAATTCTATAGTTACAGAGTTAGTACATAATACAGTTATCTTGAAAAATGGAAGAAACTGTAACAGTTAGCATTTCAGAATATTGGTTAATTCATGAATTTAACTAAACAGAAAACCAAAGGATAAACCCAATACCTAAAGAGCACATATTATTACCACCAATATTTCTTTGGAACCTACTATGTGCTAGTGCTGTGTTAGGCACTAACACAGTGCCTAATGAGTGTAAAATGAATGAGATATTTTCTTTGTCCAATGGGAGAAGAGGCATGAGACTTAATTCTAAAGCAATAGTTCTCAAGCAAGGGCAATTTTGACTCCTGAGGGAACATGCCGCACTGTAATATTTTTGGTTATTTTGACTGTGGGGGATGCTGTTGGTATCTAGTTTGCATAGGTCAGGGATCCTTCTAAATATCCTATGAGGCACAGGACAGTCCTGAGGCTCCCCCGCTTCCCCCGCCCAAACAAATAATTAGCTAGTCCTAAATATAAGCAGTGTTGAGATTGAGAACCCCCATTATAAACAATGTTTAAGAATATATATATTCATATACATGAATATGTTTGCATACACCATTTACAGATATATAATTATTTTTACATTGGGAAGCAGGGGAAGGCATCCTAGAGGAGATAATGACTGATCTAAATGTGATAAGTTAAATAGGAGTTAAATAAGTGAAACACTACAGGATAAGTTAAGAACAAGAGAAAATGATACTATTGGAGCAAAAAGCACAAAATATTTGGGACTTAGAAATGCAATTTGACACATAAAACATCTGCTAACAATACATAATCTCTCTTTGGCAGGCTGTGGGACTCGAAGGAATAAAACCTCAAGAGAGAGTCTGAGGATTATTGGTGGGACAGAAGTGGAAGAGGGTGAATGGCCATGGCAAGCTAGCTTGCAATGGGATGGGGCCCATCGCTGTGGAGCAACATTAATTAATTGTACATGGCTCGTGAGTGCCGCTCACTGCTTTAGAACGTAAGTCCTGAATCTCACAAAGATTGGGCTAAGCAAAGGGCATTGGGGTTTGGCAGGAAGGAAATAGCTCATGAAATTTGAGATGAATTCAGTATAAAGATAATGCATATATCACAAAAAGAATGTTTTAAATTTTAGCAAAGTTTTCCTAATTTGGAAATGGAAATTGTGTCAAAATACATGTAGAGAAAATTTCCATTTATAAATACACAATAATTTGTAAAGGAAGCAGGAATTTTAAAGAAAGTTAATCATATTTGGACTTGGTACTTTATATTAAAGAAAGGAGCTATAGGGCCTCCCTGGTGGCGCAGTGGTTGAGCGCTGGGTTGCGAAGCTGTCCGCAGCCTCTGCAGTGCTGGTTCGATCCCCGGCTGCTCCCCGGCCACCGGAGGAGGGTCCCACATGGCGCGCAGACATCTCCTGCCGCCCGCTGCTCCCCTCAGCAGTGTACTTCGGTCCTTCTGCCTGCTCTGCACCCCGCTCTGGCTCTGGTGAATTCTCTCCACCCTCCCGCGCTTCTGACTGTACCCAGTACTTGAAGAGAGAGAGAGAGAGAGAGAGAGAGAGAGAGAGAGAGAGAGAGAGAGAGAGAGAGAGAGAGAGAGAGAGAGAGAGATTGAGAGAGAGAGAGAGAGAGAGAGAGAGAGAGAGAGAGAGAGAGAGAGAGAGAGAGAGAGAGAGAAAGAGAGATTTAATCCCATTGGGGAAATTGTACTTGGTAAGAAAATTTAAATATAAAGAAATTTGATAGTAACAAATGATACAACTGAATAGGTTGAGTAGCTTTATTTCAGAGAATGGAGACCTTTCAACCAAGTGTAAAATGTCTATAGTATATAGGATACTAATACAGCTTTGTTAAACTATTGTAGAACATTTCCAGTTTTAAGAGAAAAATGTTCATGCCTAGGCAACGTGGTGCATGTAAAATACATTTAGTTCTCTCATCTTGTTCAGGATATGCTTTCCATTTGCCTGTTGGAGTCACTTATGCCCAGAAATGTCAAAAAGCTTTAGGCTCTGGAGTGGGTACTCAGCATGCAAAATAGCATGTATATCCTAAGATAGATGCCGTGGGATTTCCACCTGACCTGACCTGAGTCTGAGTTCTCAGGTTGGAGTGATTTTGTTTCCATTCATAAAAACTATGCATTGAAAAACAAAACTTATATAATACCTGCAGACTAAATTGTTTTTTTAAAACTTTATTGTGGTAAGATAGTAAAGTGGAATTTATTCTTAATACTTTCTCCTCAGTTATAAGAATGCAGCCAGATGGACTGCTTCCTTTGGAGTAACAATAAAACCTCCAAAAATGAAACGCAACCTCCGGAGGATAATTGTCCATGAAAAATACAAATATCCATCACATGACTATGATATTGCACTTGTAGAGCTTTCTAGCCCTGTTCCCTACACAAATGCGGTACACAGAGTTTGTCTCCCTGAAGCATCCCACCAGTTTCAACCAGGTGATGAGATGTTCGTGACAGGATTTGGAGCACTGCAAAATGATGGTGAGAATCTGAAAAGAAACTCAAATAGAGTAATCTAATTTGGTATTCTAAGACATTTAAAGAATGTCATTATACAAAAATATGTTGGTGGGTTGGTCATATATGAACTAAGTCATTTAGAAGATAACTGAATTCCTTCCTGCATTAGGTTACTATCAAGTACATCACTACTACTACAATAATGGTGCTTACTAAAGTGTTTGCAAGATTAAATACTGTGTATCTGAGTTTTTAACCCCAGAAGCTATCAGGAATCATCAGTATATCTCATTGTGAAGGTCAGAGAATCATAAAGCCACTATTTCCCCCTACCAAAATTAACAATGAAATCAAAATTACTTAAACAGTTTTGAGTTTCTTTCCTAGACATCTAGCTATTTAAAGCAGTTAGGAAATATTTACTCTGAAAAAAATACATAACCTTATTTTCTACCACCATCTTATTCAATTGTTATAGGAGACTTTCTTAAGGCTTATAGAATATATGTATGTCTTCAAATATATGACTATTCCCTCCTTTAGGTTATAGTCAAAATCATCTTCGGCAAGTACAGGTGGATTTCATAGATACTAAAACCTGTAACGAACCTCAAGTTTACAATGATGTCATAACTCCTAGAATGTTATGTGCTGGCTTCTTGAAAGGAAAAAGAGATGCATGCCAGGTAAGTGGTTTGATGTATTAGTATGTTAAATAGCTTTGTCTTTTATTTTGAAATAATTATGTATTTATAGGAATTTGCATACATACTACACAGGGACCTCGTATCCCCAAGGTTACATCTAATATAACTATAGTACAATGCAAAAACTAGGAATCTGACATTGGCTATTGTGCTTCTAACCACTTTTAATGTAGACCTGCTGGACAAATTTATATTGTTCAGTTTGCTACATTAAACTTTTTCACCCATTGACCTTTCTCCATGTTTCTCACAAATGCCCAGGACTGGATTTACTTCCTTGTTTCTGTTTCTGCTCTGAGGCCTTGGTAGTTAGTTGAGGACGATATGGAACAATGCAGATACAAAATTGTACTGAAAAATTCAAGGTGATTCTGTAAACAAACCTTCCAAAATAAAATCAATTTAATAAAATATTCACTTGAAAATATATTCATTCCTTCTTATTTCCAAGTTACATGTTTGTGAATTCATTAATTTGCTAAAATTTGTTTGTAAACTAAAGGCAATACTCAAGACACTTTCATGATCATTCACAAACATACACAGAGTGGCAAAAAATTTGAGTCATCTAATGTGCATGCTCACAATGACTCAAAAATTTGAGTCATCTAATGTGATTCTCTGCTTTCTTGCTGCAGTTTTCATGCCATACATTTGGGGGCTTTTTGTGATTTATTTAATTCCACATGATTGTGCCTATTGTTTTGTTGATTTTGCTGTTTAAAGTAGTTCCCAAATATGCTGTAAGGAAGTGCAAGATGGCTATGATGTGCCTTCTGGAGAAAATGTGTGTATCTGACAAGCTTTAAGACTTGAGTTAGTGCTGTTGGTAGTGACTTCAATGTTGTGAATCAATAACACTAAATTACATGGTTTAAGTCATGGTCATGTATTGATCAGTTGACAAAAATCTAACCAGAGGCTCATGGAAATCTAATCCTATATTTCCTCCAAGAACAATTATTCAGCATTCAGTAATTTAGGTTTGCAGCAACTTCATAGAACATAAATACCTGAATAACAAGAATAAACTATTTTATTTGTCTTCTTGACAGTCATAAAACTACTGTTTAGATGTTATAGATCTTGTCTTAATCTTATCTTCTAATCTTGTTTTAATCTTCCACATCCTATTTGCCTCCAACTTACTAAGCATTTGAAAGTATCTTTTCAGAGGAAAAGTCATATGTCTCTTAGGTGTTTCATTTTCAGATTTTTATTACTGAAAATTTCAACTCTATCCAAAAGCAGAGATAACAATATAATGAACCCCAGTGTACTCAGCATCCAGCTTCAACAATTATCAACTCATGACCAATCTTATATCATCCCTATGTATCTTTTTTTAGCTACTATGTTTTATTTTTTTAATTTTTTACATCATTGTTCATTTTTAAACAATATTTGCTTCCCCTCACCCCCTCAGGTGTAGTGCCCATAGAGTTTCCTTCCCCAATGCACCCGTGCGCCATCATCTCAGTCCCCTGTGCTCCTCCCTCCCTCTCTCTGATCCCTCTCCCTCCTCCTTCCCTGCAGGATGTCTTTAGTTTATAATTGTCCGTTTTTGCTTTGCTGTGTTTTGTACTGTTATTATTTTTTTACACTGATGCCATCCGATATTTTTCTTTTTCCTCCTGGCTTATTTCACTGAGCATAATTCCTTCTAGTTCTATCCACGTTGCTGCAAATGGCATGAATTTATCTTTTTTGATTGCTGAATAATATCATCCCTATGTATCTTAATATAATCCCTTTAGCCTTTTCCTTTCCCCACCAAAAACATTGCAGATATATTTTGTAGTAAACCCCAAATGTCATGTAATCTCATCTGAAATTTTGTCACTTAGTTTACCTAGAAGTGACTATCTGTTATAAATACTTCCCCTATTTACCTAGACATAAATATCCCTTACAAATTTAGGAAATTAAGATGAGCAGCAAGGAAGCTCCACAATTATTCTATTTTCCTCTCTCTGGAGTGACCCAGCACCCATTTATTTTCCTCTTTTCTATGTAATATCTACAACTTCTTGCCACTCAACTGACTCCGTGTATTTTAGTATTTCAAAAATCAACAATAAGCTTATGTGCAAAAATCATTACTTGGGGCCTCCCCGGTGGCGCAGCGCGTGAGCGCTGGGTTGCAAAGCTGCCACCGGGTGAGGGTCCCACATGGCATGCAAACCTTTCCTGCCACCCGCTGCTCCCCTCAGCAGTGTATTTCGTCAGTCTGCCTGTTCTGCTCCCTGCTCTGGTTCTGGTGAATTCTCTCACCCTCCAGTGCTTCTGACTGTACCCAGTACTTGTATAAATAAATAAATCTTTTAAAAAAATCATTACTTGCATTTTTTTTTATTCTTTCCCAACTCTTTCTTAAAATGTGATCTTTTGCTGGGTCCTTTGGTCCTAAAATATGTTGATTTTCTCCTCTCTGTCTCCAAGCAGTCATTTCTGGTTCCTTGTTTTGGTTCCCCGTTCTCTCTCTCAGCCTTCCTACTCATCGAGACACAGACGTCAGATGTATTTTTTCTCAATTTCTATCTACTCACTCAAAGAAATGGCATTATTTTTGAACTTAACTATCAGCTTTACTGACTCTCCAATCGATGTCTCAAAATTAACCTTTTATCCAAATTTAGTCTCACTTTTCACTTTCAAAGCATTTCCACTTTAAGTTTTATTTGCTAATATAAGACTAAAATTTGTGTATGTGTCATCTCAATTTTAATGGGTGTCTTGAAATGTTAACTGATATTCCATTTTCAAATTTCTTGTTTATGTTACTGGGTTTCATAGTCTTTTACCTTCATATTGCCTTCACAGTTAAGTTTTAGAATATATTCCATCTTGACCATGTCTTCCAGGTTTATTTATTTGGTCTCCATTGTTCCTGTTAACACTAGTTTATTCCTTCAGTATGTCATATCTTGATCACTACAATTGCTTCCTGGTTTGTCTTCTTCTGTTTTTAAAAGTTTCTGTTATGATATAGACAGTCTTAATAAACTTTCTGTTTTATCACTAAACCACTCACTAAAAAGAATAAGATTTATAGGAAAAACAGGATTAGAGATAGACCAACAGTTCCTTCAAAGACTATATAGCTTTTTTTTTTCTTCAAAGATTTATTTATGCACACAAGAACTGGGGTACAGGCCAGAAGTGTGTGTGGGGGGGTGAGAGGTCTCCCCAGAGACAGAGGGGGGAGCAGAACAGGTACATCTACTGAAATGCACTGCTGAGCAGTGGGCAAGTCAGAAGAGGTCTGCTGCACCATGTGGGTAGCTCCCCGGCTGGGGATTGAACTTGTGCTGCAGTGGCTGCAGACAGTCTCATAGGTTGCATCTTAACCCCTTGCGCCACAGGGAGGCCCTCAAAGACTATATAACTTTGTAATCAGAGAAGTAGCACTAATTAAAAATATAATAATGGTGCTTTGAAAAATAACTTGGGCAGACAGTGTGCCCCTAGTGACTGGTGGCTGACTTAGGGGAAGTTAAAAATGCACAGAGACAACAAAGTGGAATACTGGTTTGCTGGGACTGTGACAGTGCACATGGAGTAGAGGAGGAAGCACAACCTGCCAAGACTTAAGACCTAAGCAAGGCTGGACATCCTTGGGGACAGGGGATGTCCTGGGTGTCTTTCCACACTTTGTTAAAACAGAGCCCCAAAGGCTTCTGTCTATCCATTGGCTGAGTTGATAGTATAATCTATTCTTCTGAAGATTATAATTCTACTCCTATTATTCTGGCTCCTCTACTTCAGACAAAATACTTATAAACCATCACAACTTCCATCTTACTAATATAACACCCCATGAGAATTACCTAGTATTGGCAGAAGAGACTGTATTTTTTCTATTTGATGTTTCAGACATTTTTTTTTTTCAAGCTTGTAATATTGTAATTACAAGCTATTTTTTCTTTAATTATTTTCAGACTCATTTGCTTCATCTCTTAAATAGATTTAAACTTTGTTGTCTCTGGCATCTACTATTTCTTCATCCTATTATGCTCTATCTTCTCATAAGCTTGGATTTCATTATTAAAATGATTTCTTTTCAAATAGCTTCAGATGACAACTCTTATTTCTATAAGCAAATGCTTTGAGGGCAAGGCCCCTGTGTTTGTTCTCCTTTTATATCTCCTACTGCATATGAGGGTAAATGCTTACTGGATTAAAAAATGATACTTTGGATTTAAAAATGATACTTTGTTTCAAATCCAGTTAGTTTATTAATGATTTTACATGGACAAAAGGAAAATCAGAGGAAAGTTTGGATAATACATAAGTGGGGGGAGGCATGATCTGAGTTAGATCATGGATTAAAATGGATTAAAAAATGATACTTTGGATTTAAAAATGATACTTTGTTTCAAATCCAGTTAGTATTTATTAATGATTTTACATGGACAAAGGAAAATCAGAGAAAAGTTTGGATAATACATAAGTGGGGAGAGGCATGATCTGAGTTAGACCATTTTATTCAAATTCACACTCTGCTGCTGAATAGCATGTGATGTTAGACTACTTAATTTCTACGTGTCAGTATCCTTATTGCTGAAATTTAAAAAGGAAACAGCTTCAGGTTTTGTAACCAGAATGACAGGAGTTAATGAGCTAATATATTAATTAATGAATAGCTTCATTAGCACTTAACACTCAATGAACTCTCAACTAAACTATAATTAGAGATCCAGATTTTGGGGAATGGTCAGCTAATACTTTGTTTTTAAGACCTGTAAAAAGAAACAACACTCTGGAGTTCACAAGATATAAACACACACACACACATATATACACATACACACACACACTCTATGCACTATGTTCTGCTTTGTGTGAGTCATATGTTAAGCACTTTATATTCACTGTCTTATGTACTCTTTTAAATAATTGTCAGAGGGAGGTATTATTAGGTGCATTACAAATAAGTAAATTAAAGGCCAGATTTGAGATTTAAACCCCAGATATCTGACTCTAATGTCAGTGTTCCTTATCAGTAAGACTCCTCACCCTTATTTTGGGAGCTTTGTCACACTGATAAAGAGGCAGCCTGTACAAGGAGTTATTTTGTTCTCTGAAGAGATGCAACCTTTTAATCAGTGTACTGAACCCTGAGGCTAATCCAATTCTACAAGCATTGGAGTTCCTTTTTTATGTGAATAAACAACATTTAGACAGAATCACTTCTGTGTTTAAATACACTGAAGAGTTTTTGAAACTACTCCTTTCATTAAACATAAGTTGTAAAATTAATAGATATCTCTGTAAACAGACTGATTTTTTTTTTTTTGCACAATGTATGCATTTTCATTTTGGTTATATTCCCCATACAATTGCAACACCCCCCCTCCCCCTTATTTTGACTCTAGTCCTTTCTTTCTTTCCTCACCTCTCCCTCCCCCCCACCCCCAGTGAGTCTCTGGTTTATAGTTGCTTGTTGATTTTGATTTTTACTTTGTATTGATTAGTCTTTTTCCTGGTCTCTTATTTAGGTTTACAGACTGAATTATTAATTACTAATTTCTCTTCTCCTTTAGGGTGACTCCGGAGGACCACTGGTTAGTTCAGATGCTAGAGATATCTGGTACCTTGCTGGAATAGTGAGCTGGGGCGATGAATGTGGGCAACCCAACAAGCCTGGTGTTTATACAAAAGTGACTGCCTTCCGAGACTGGATCACTTCCAAAATTGGTCTCTAAGAGAGAAAAACCTTATAGAATGAAGATATTTTTGTTTATAGAGCATTCTTAGAGATAGGGAAATTCAGAAGAGGCCCTGCAGGTCACACATATTTGACTGATCTAATAAACTCTCTGCTTGATGCATGTATTTCCTTCTTAGCTTTGCCCCACACATGGCATCTTGTTTCTGCCTGATGGATTCTGTCTCACCTTGTATTTATTTATTTTCTAGAAGTTTTCTGTCATCAAAATTTTGCCTTGTAGACATAAATTTCAAACGTATATATAAAATTTGAAGTGATCCCTTCCTTATTTCTCAACTTCTCAGTAAATTATCACTTTTAAGGTACAGGACAAAAAGCGAAAGCAGTGTTAAGAGGAACAAACTATCTTTTTTATATACAGGAAAATATTAGGTGTTTTTTTTCTTAGTGGAATGAGGAAAATGATCACATTCACTATAAAAGGTCAAGCAAATGGGCAGTAGAATCCCATCCCTCATGATAGAGAAAAAATGGAACTCAGTTAAGGAAATACAGAAAAACCAAGACATAGTTTTATTTTCATTTCTAGTTAAACAACAACAGAAATAAGTGAGGGCGAGATTGTGATTTCTTGTAACCTACAATGATTATATAATTCCTATATATCCCTATTATATATTCCTATAATTGTTTTAAACTAGAGCAAATGATCCTTAACATTATACTGTTGAGGATTCAATATATGTTAATAACATTAAATGTTTAATAACATTTATATTAATGTTTAATAACATTAAAAAATGATAATCCATGAAGAAGGGGAAGGGAGAAAAATGTCCCTAATCAATTTGTTAGAAATTCTTTTAAATTCTGAGTTTCAAATGAGAAATTACTTAAGAACAACCAGCATACCTTAAGTGATTGAGGATATCCCCCCTGCTGCTGCATTTCCATTTCTAGCCAACACTTGGACTGTGGATCCCTCTGGGCTCAGAGGGGAAGCAGTAGGGAAGATATCCTGGAAGAAGCCTCTCTGTTGCATTTAGTGTGGCACTGAATTGCTAGCTACCTGGATATAAAACTGTAGAGTAAAAGCCTAGTATCAGCCCATTCATAATTCTGGTTTTGGTAAATAACTACTGAGATGTTGTAGACACAAACGTCAGGTGACCTCGACTGTTATGAAGTTAGGACTGTTGCCATAACATAGGGATGTGTTAATGGTTAGAGTACCCTGAATCTTTGTTATTTTTCTTCATTATATGTAATATCAGTTCTGTATTGTACCATAACCTATATTATTAGGTTGAAACCACATCAAAAACTAACATAAGTTAAAAAAAGCACACTTATTAACCTAAATAACATTGGAACTGATAAAATTTAGGTACTTCGCAAAAATGAGGTATTAAAATTAAGATGAATTGACAATGCTAAATATTTTGCGCTAAGTATTTTTGTTCCTTTTAATGAAATCTTTTATAAAAAGTTGATGAAAGTGATTTTTAAACATTTCAAACTAAATTGCTCTCAGTTGTGCCTGTAGGTGGCGCCCACAAGCTGTAAGAAATTACAGGGAAGAAATGTCTGGAATTTCAAGTAATAATAAAAACTGTACTGGAAATTCTGGATTAGGGTCTTGTAAAAATAAAAAAATACAATCAGTCTTTGAAAAGTCATTTAAAAATAAACCCGTGTAAACTGGAGTAGTGATTACGATTTTCCAGGTTTCTGGAGATGAGTTTCCAAACTAAAATAAAATTTATGATATGAGGAAATTCCTCTGTAAACAACTTGGAGGGATTTAAATTAAGGATAAACTTTAGAAATTTAATTCACAATGTCATAATACTCTTCAGAGAAATATTTTGGATATTTCCCTTTACGAAAAATTTGAGAAATTAAAGTTGAGTTACTTTGAAAATATGAGCAAAATTTCAGACTATATGCATAAAGAAATAGACAATAAAGTATCAGTTTTTAATTAAAAATTCCTTTATAAGATAAGTTATATAGGATTTTAGCATTCATGGGACTGTTTTAACTATTATGTTGTAGAAAGTTAAGTCATGATTGCAATACTATTAATTGTACAGAGAGAAGGCAGGTAATTTCTCTTCTAATATTTTTATCTTCCCATTACAACTAGTAAGGTGCTCTGTATATAATGGTCTTTCAATAAATGTTGTTGAATGGCTCTTTATTTTTATACTATGAAGAAAACAGCTTTCTTATTGTTTACACATTGATTCTTAGAAGTATGCCAGATTTTACAATGTGTGCCTTAAACCAGTTATTTAAATACTCTAAGTTTATATATTCACGTGTCCCTATAAAACAGGAATAATATTTATCTCAAACAATTGTTGCAGGGATTAAAATAGGATACTGTTTGAAAGTGCTTACTTAGCATGGTTCTTAGACCATATGAAGTGCTCAAGAACTGGTAACTATTATAATTGTTGCTTAAGCTACAGTCTTGTTTTAAAGAATTGGGGGCCTCACCGGTGGTGCAGCGGGTTGAGCGCTGTGCTGTGAAGCTGTCTGCAGCATCTGCAGTGCTGCTTCAATTCCTGGCAGCCCAGGGAAAACCCACATGGCATGGCAGACCTCTCCTGTCCCACCCGCTGCTACTCTCAGCAGTGTCTTCCGTCCGTCCGTCTGTCTGCCTGCTCTGCTCCCCACTCTCTCTGAGGAATTCTCTCACCCTCCTGCGCCTCTAAACTATACCCCAGTTCCTGTATAAATAAATAAATCTTTAAAAAAAAGAATTGGTACTTAATTATAATAGGTTGAATAAATATTTTTGAAATAAGAGATAATTAGAAGAATAAATTGGGCTGGTTTCTTGTTTAATTCTGATTCCATAAAAGTCTTATGGGGTCATTCCAAAACATATTGCCAAGTTGTTTTCTATTATCCTGATTTTTTTTTTGCTTTTAAAAATAATAAACATTATTAACAACGGATTGATTGGTTTATATCAAGATCTACAGTCTAGTTAAAACCATGCCTCTTGTATGAAACCTTCCTTGAATCCCTCAAATAGATGTTACATACTCTCATCTGAAATTCCTTACAATTAATTTATCAGATAATCATAGATTCATGTACAGTTATAAAATATAACAGAGAGATCCTATGTTTATCCAGTTTATACCAACGGTAACATTTTGTTTATAGTAAAACATGACAAACAGATTTTACCAGTTTTAAAAACAGGTAGTTACATGCATGTATTTAATTTTATATAATTTATCACCTGTGTAAATTTTTTGAGTGATCACAACTATTGTTAAGATCTAGAGTAGTTTGATTACAAGGATCCTTCATGCTACTCATAGCTAGCTGGCTTCCTTTCTATCCCTGTCCCCAATTTCTAGCCCCTGGTAACCACTAATTTGTTCTCCATCTTCATAATTTTGCCATGTCAATAAGTATTTGTAAATGACATCACATAATGTGTAACCTTTAGAGACTGAGTTTTTCTCTTAGCACAGTTCATGTGAGAGCAAGCCAAGTTGTGTCAGTAGTTCATTTTTTTTTTTATTGTTGTGCAGTATTTCATGGTGTGAATGTACCAGTTTGTTTAACCATTCATCCACTGATGAATATTTGGATTGTTTTCATTTTTTGACTATTTTGAATAAAGCTATTATGACATTTGTGTGTAGGTATGTATGTTTTTTTTGTGAAAATAAATGTTTTTATATCTCTGGGACTAATGGCCTAATGTTTGTATGGTAAGCACATATTTAAGTTTTTAAAAATTGTCATAGTCTTTTCAGATGGCTTCTCACCAACATTAACCTCTCTATATCTACCCATGTTTTTTTTTTTAAATTTCAGAGTCTAATTTCAAAACTAGACTCTAATATCTAGTTAGGCACCACAAATGATTCATTTTATTTGTAGGCACCACAAATGATTCATTTTATAACTTTCACAAATTATATGAAAAAATATTATTTATTATAGGTGTGCAACAAAGATTAAATAAAGGACAAAGAGAATAAAAGCAAATAAACATAGCAATATATATAAAATGAAAAAGAAAGTTATTTTAGTTAGAAAAGAATTAACAGTATTGCCTCATGAATGTATTGTGTCCTAATTTCAGTAATTCTGGACTTTACCATAATACCCCCAAATATCTCATGTTGGTTGTCACAAAATCTTGTCCTCTAACTTTCCCACATGGAATAGTCAAACAGTATATATGGTGATTCTATTTTCCTGTTTGATTTTATTTCCTGATACATAAAATTCAATGGTTTTTTCACATATATATATCTATTCTATATTATACTTGTATAATGGATTCCAGTATAGGGATATGCTAAATAAATATGTGCATCTTTTTATAATCATGACTGTGTAATTATTTGTCCTAACATAACTTTTATTATTTAACTCTCAAATGGAGGGAAAGAAAGAGACTTGTAAAATCCAACTAGAAGATCTCCCTTAGTTGGCACTGATGCATTAATCGAAACTCTTTGGGCATAACTGTATCCAATTAAATATCACAGTCAATTACTATAATCACTACCTTGCATATACTCCTTTGCTCCCTTTTGCTTCAAGACTGTGATAATTATTTTTTACCACTACCCTGGTAAAATCCCATTCTCCACCTGCTCTTTTCCTTTACTATGCAATTGAACATGATTGGAGTAAAATACACAACCACACTGATCGGGCTACCTTCAAATGCATGCGCACAAACCTCCAGCATACTCTTAACACTTCCCCAATCTCATAATATGCTCTCTGTCCATTGAGCCCTGCCCCCGTGCTGCTCCTTACATTCTTCCTTTCCCTTTTGGTAGCCTCAATAATGTAGTCTGATTTAAAGGATTGGTTTGGGCTTAGTTTTTCCTGCTACTTTGCTTTGTTTCTTTATAGACCACATATGAAAGAAAACATCTGGGCAATATTCTTTCACCTTCTGACTTATGTTGCTTAGCACAGTCCCCTGTAGCCCCATCCATGTTGTTCAAAATGGAAAGATTTCATCTTTTTTAACAACAGAGTAGTATTCCATTGT